GAAAGGAAAGGCTGTGCTATTAGGCAAAGAAACAGCATAACCACAAGGCCACAGGCTGATGCCCGTGGGGTAGGACAAGGAGCCCCAGGGGCCCAAGGGATGGGCAGGATCTAGGGAAGCGAGAGAGAGACTGGGGTTCAGGGCAAGACCCTTTAACTCTGAAAAAAGGGAAAGGATAAGGAAATGGACATAGGAGAGGACAGATTAAGGGAATGATTAGGGTTTGGCCAAGCAGGATAAGAGCCCGCCCCACCATCTGCACTGGAGAGGCCAAATGTGCAGGCTTCTTACCACACACCAGCCTGGGTGGGTGCTGGGCCCTCAAGACAGAGCTAACCTGCAGGCAAGAGGGAGAGATGAAAAACTTCGGGGAGCTGAGAAGTCACTCAGGTGTCTAAGCAGGCAAGATGGTTCTGGATTGTGATTTCTTATCCCTCTTAGTGGTGGGTCCACTCAAATGTGCTTGGTCATCCACAAAGTCTCCACTTCCACCCCACCCCCACCCCCCTCCAATTTCTGCTCCTCCTTCTTCTGGCCAAGCTAGACTTTCCCATGCTCCTCTAACCCAGCTTCAAGATGGCTCCTTGGTACTGACATCCTCTGCCCCGCTGGTAACAGGACAAAGGGGCAGGACTCTCCACTCCCTTGCTGTAGATGGAGGCACCTGCTCTGCTTGGTTCTGTTTCCTGCTGGGCACACCTGAGGCACCACTGCAGGTCTGCCCTGTGAGCTGGGGCTGGGTGTGGCTGCAGGCTGGGACCAGGGAAGTCACGAGAGGAAAGCACACCTCTCTCTCCCCCTCCTTCCCTCCGTCCCCAGGCCAGCTGGAAAGGTGCCCTGTGACCACCCAATCTAATTCTTTGAACCCTCAATTCTGACAGATGGAGAATTAAAAAAAAAAAAAAGAACTTCCAGCATCCTTTATTTGCAGCTTCTCAAAAGATAAGGGAGAAGCTCTGACCGCAGGAAAGTGGAGCCCCAGCTTCTGGATTCTCAMGGCCAGGGACAATCAGCTGCGGGCTAAACCCTCCACCTTGCCCTCACCAGGCAGGGTGAGAACCCTGAGCTCACAGCATGGTGACTGAGTCCAGGGCTCTGACCGGGGGTCCTTAGTTACAGCTGCCCTCTGGGTCCCTGCCAAGCTGATCAGATCAGGGCAGGAAGAGCCACCCTCCTCACACCTGAGAGCAGGTGTATGCCCTGCGGCCTCAGACAGGCTCTGTCACAGTGGCCCTGTCAGCCCACCACAGCTGCTCAGTCCCTGTCACAGGCCACCCAGGCTCCCCTCTCCCACTTGCCCTGTCACTGATCCAGTGTCCAGGCCAAAGGAYGCTGTGGCAGCTTCCTGAACAAAGGCAGAGCCACTTGGAATGGCCTCCAGGGCTCTTGGGGTTGCTCGAGGACATAGAATTCTCCAAACAAGGGCTGCTACCTCAAACTGAGCCATAGGTTATGAGAAGCCTGTGGGGACACAGCTAGTGRGAGGAGAAGCAGCGCCACTGCCACTGCGACTGCAGGGCCAGCCAGCTTCCCTGTCCTGGTGACCAGTCTTCCTCATTCAAAGCACTAAACCAACCACCCAGCCAAAGTGTGGTGTCTGCCAAGTTCACCTCCTGAGGCTTCCTGTCCCCTCCTAACTGGCCAGTGATACTCTCCTGTCCTGCTCTGGCCCTGGAGATGTTAGGAAGATCTGGGCAAGGAGATCAGAGCACCTGCAGCCCCCCCACAGAGGCACCCACCCATCCCTGCTGCACACCTGTGTCACCAGGACTAAAGGAGGGCAGCAGTGAACAGCCAGGCCTGGGCGGGTGAGGACATGGATCTCACATCTGGACATTCTGCTTCTCCCAGGGAGGAAGGACAAACAGGCCCCCATGGTACCTCGGCAGCAATCCCTGTCCCAGCCAGGGTCAGAACCCCTGGTCACCAGCTCACCCAGAGAACTCAGCATCTGAACCTTGGACACAAAGACCACTCCCTCCCCCCCACCCTTCCCAAAAGGTGCACAGCTCTGATCCTCAGACCTTTAGTTCCCTTGGGTTTAATTCTGCACACTTGGATTTGTAAGCCTAGTGGCCTACAGATAATTTTATTCTCTCACCTTGTCTTCACCTGAGCATGAGGTGACTGAATGCAGCAGTTAATTCTGCAAGTGGTGGGGTTAACTTTTCAAAAATTTTAACATAGTTCAAAACCAAATGTGCTTTTTCCTATCTAAAAATGTTTTTTTCTACAATAGTGGTCAGACTATATGCAAATTCCTGATAAAAAATTATGCAACGAAGGTTAACAACCAAAGTCCAAACATTTGCCATATAGAAGTTGTTTCACAAGAAAACAAACAAACAAAAACCAACAAYCCTCAAATTTCCTTCCTTGGGCAAACATTATCTACTGAGAAAAATTATAGAATGTAAGATATTACCAACCTAGTATCAAATGAATTTATTTGATCCCACTTAAARAGCACAGGACTCTCAAAACAGGTAAAGAAATCAGTTTTCATTTCATCTTCAATACTTGACCATAGGAGTTTGCTAATTTTTAATTGCTTCCACTTTATTTCAAAGACAGCTTCTGTGCCCATTTCCCACCTCATGTCATCACTGCTTGACCTTTGAATTCTAACATGGTTACACACTGAGCTTCGCTATCTKCGAGCATTCCTAATTATGCTTGCTACCAACTTCAATTGTGACAGATGCTCACCTGCCCTCTGGCTAAAAATAGCTGTTTTCAATGTCAAACACAGCAAATGTTCTCTGCCTGGTTAACAACCTGTTGGGCAACTTTGTCAAAGAAGCAGATGAATCCCTCACCAAAGGGGAGCATGGGTTTCACCCGGCACCATGTGCCGGAGACCTTGACATGTATCAATGGTTGACATAGCTTTTATCAGTTAAAAATAGATGTTAGCACCTCAATTCACAGCATAAGCCGCACACTAGACTTTTCAGAACCCAACGGCACTCTAGCTGGAGAATGAGCACCCTGGAGACACAAAGAGGACCCCACAAAGCTCTCTGTCTTTGCTGATGCCATGTGACATGTTCCCAGTGATGCCTCCATGGGTAACCTCTTTGAATTCCAGACATCTACAGTGTATACAGCCAAAAGAGTTCTACCAGGTTTCCCTTGAAGTWTATTTGTGAAATCTACACTGAAATAATTCTACCTCTTGCTGAAAAAAAAAATTCCACAAACTATCTTAATTGCTTGAAGCAATTCTACTATATTGTAATTATCTCATTGCCTTGTAATTATTTGCTTTGTGAATGTTTCTCTCCAACCCCCCACTTCTCCGCCCCCAGACTTGAGCTTCTTAAAAGAGCTCCCTGTGGCTTGGCTATCCACTATGTGCCTGGTACATAGAGAAACTCCATAACTCTGGTTAAACTGAGTTCATTTGAATTGAAACCACAGTGTCAACATCTTCTTCCTTCTGAGATTCTGAATCCTCTTGTGAACACCATAATCTGTTGTTCAGATGGTTAATCAACAGGACTTATGTCTCTTGAACATTGCATTTTGGATCCTATTAAGTGGCTATATTAGACCAATGCATTATGGGAAATAAGCAACTATTATATTATTTCTATTTGGGTGTGCTTACAGGTCTACCTCCAAAAAGAAATTAACACCCCTAATTACTAGACTTTCTAAGGCAAATCTCACATTAAAATGAAATAAGTATGTGGCATGCTTAGCTCAATGTCTAGCACATGGGAATGCTCTTTGAACATTAGCTCTGTGTCCCCACATGCTGGCTAGTGTCCCTCCTAATAGCTATATCTCATAGGGGCAACAGTTAAGCTGTCCCATCTGCTGGCACTGCTCTGTCATTTCAGGCCAGAAGCATTGACTAACAATCATCTGGACACCCAATTTTTTCCTGAGACTAATGAGTGATCATTCTGTTTTAGCTTTATTTATCTCTCCCACCTCCCCACTCTCCATCCCCAAGTTAAACTAAACACTGGTGACCCCCACCACCCGCCACACACACACACACACACAAATGATACCTAAACAACAATAAAGAGAAGAAAGATGCTTTGGCCTGAAGAGCTGCCTTCTTCAAATCTCATCAATTAAGCAATCCTTAATACAAGGAAACAATAAAAGAATGCACCTTCTCATGAAAACTGCAATCTGAACTTTAACCTTGGTTAAGGGCCTTGGGTGAGAAAAAAAAAATGGAATAGGAATGTCTAACAAATGGAACAGAGGTGGCACAGTGCCTACTCACAGGATGAAGGGGTTGGCATGAAGAGATGTGCCAGCGACAAGGGAGAGCTCTCCTGCCACAGACTGGCAGCAGATCCCCATGGAGCAGAAGAGTAAAAATAGCCAACTAGCTCTGTTTACTCATTAAGTCAGCCGTCAGCCTCTCACTGTAATTTAAGTCTCTGGGTATCTCTGGCCAAGAAATTCCCTAACCAATGGACACGGATAATCTGACCTATGCTGAGCAATCACAGGTGAGCCAGGCCCAATGTCTATCATTCAAAATAGGGATGTGACAGAAATTTATGAGGCCAGGTCCTACCTCTCAGTGACCCTACCCAGGTGCAAATCCYCGCATCCACTAGCCACTCTCACTCTTTACAAATGATGACACAAGGGACTAGCAGGTTGCCACAATGATGTTCCAAGCAACGTGGAGACATGCTGGAGTGAAATCCCAAGAGCATGTTCAGTCAGGTAGGTGAGATCCTAGAGGCCTAGCAGGACAGGGACATAAGGACACCGTCTAATTGCTAGTGATTTGCTTTTGGTTTGGTTTGGGTTTTTTTCTTAATTTTAGAAACAAACCCCCCAAATTTCTAATGCAATCAAAACCAATTGAAGCAATTTTGACCTCTAGATATCAGCACGTAAGGACACCCACAATGACCTGAGACTATCCACAGATCCCAGAAGGAGGTGCCTCCAGTCTTTTAATCCCTCCAAAAGTGACCTCACAGCGCAGTCACAGGCGAAGACACAGGTGTACTTACGCAGGGCGTGCCACTCGTCCTGACGGATGGTCTTGGTGATGTTGAAAGTGAGGTTCCTGGGGATGGTTGCTGAGGAGTAGTGGTACTTGATGTACGTGCAGCGCTCAATTTCTCCTGGAAAAGAGAGACAGAAGCCAAATGTTAATGAGGCAGCAACCACTTCCGGAGCAGTTCTGGGATCCATTTTTTTTCCATCCTGGAGAAAGATATTTGTTTTATATTGTGCCCCGTGATACCTAAAGTCTATACCAAGTGATAACCGGACTCAAAAACAGCAAGAGAGTGGAACCACAATCAAACAGCATTGATTTAGACAGAAAAATGTATCTCTGGGGTCAAAGCAGAGGTGGAAGAGCCAGACAATAGGCTGCTCGAAGCTAGTTGTTAAAAAACAACACCCAGAGGAAGGTTGGTCTAACCAAACCCTTTCCTTCCGAAGAGGAAGATCAGCACTGAAAGCCAGGAACAGTTTCCACACAGGGACCAGGCTTCTGCCTCAGTGGTGTTATTTGTGCTGTTGGTACACAATCTTCTGGAACAGTGAGCTAAGGGGGCTTCTCCCCTTTTCCACCTCCTTCCTTTTCAACCTCACCTCTGACCACAAAGCACTCAAATCAATCTGTATCTCTTGGAATCAGTCCTTTCTCAGGTTTCTTGAAYAAATCTATGAGCCCTTAGACTCAACATCTGGTCCAGTTTCTGACCAATGGTTATGAACCAAAGCATGCTTTGCTGGTCAAATGATCAAAATGTTCCCATATCTTAGGGTAGAGATTCACAAAATGTGGTCCCAGGTCCAGTAGCAGTAGCATCCTCTAAGAGCTTCTAGAAATGCAACTTCTCAGACCCAACCCCAAATCTACTGAATCAGAAACTCCAAGTAAAACCTGGATGAATCTTTTCAAGCCCTCCAGACAATTCTGTTTTCATGCTGAAGTTTGAGAACTTGGACTTCAGGGAATCTAAAGAACTGTCAATGCATTCATTCAAAAATCCACCATGTTTGCAAATTCCAAAAGGRAAGCCCAACTGGGAGGTTTTCCCTTGTTACTTTTGGTCTCCTGCAAGCATTTCTATTGACGTTTGCTTATCTGAAGGATATTAAAACTCAATGTCAGGGCATTGTGAAGAATCAGGAAAGGAGTGGTTTTTAAAGGTTAGGGGTTTTGAAATTTGGTTTTGCACCTGAATGGATTTTGATGGTAATCCATTTTGCACCCCACTGATTTTCAATTTATAACCGGTGGCACCTGATTGAATTGTTTGACCCCCTGGCCCACTGTCAGCAAGGAAACTGGCAATTGGTGGGGTGCAATAATTTAGACAGTACCTCGTGCAACTGATGCCTTATTGTAAATCATAGCTGGACAACTGCCCACTTGCCAGTTATTGGCAGACATTCCTCTAATAGGACAGACACTATCCAAAGAGATAAAGTTCTAGAAAGTAGTTTGTACTCTCTTGCTTATGTCCATTTCTCAACGCTCTACCTCTGTCCCCTTAGCCCACAAACTCCTGCAGCCTCTCACGTGCTCTGGTATTTCTCCTGTACACACCTTGTCACACCTGCGTCCCTCCATCCTCCTTCCTTGACTTGCTAAACTTCTGGAACAGGTGTCCACCAGTCCCCACTTCCTCTACTCAGATTCACACCTCAAACCTGCAYACTCCAAATTCTCAGCAATTTCCATTAATAGCATCACCTCCATCCAGACTACTGTGTCGACCCCACATCTCCTCCTCCTCCRTTCTGCCTCTGCTTCCTTTGGAGACATCAACTGGTCTCAAATTCTGTCTGTTGTACTTCAGAGTKTAGTCTCTCCTCTGTTCTCACCTCCACATAGTAGTTGTCCTGGTATAGCCACGTGTGGCATAACGTTTCAGTCAAAGCCAGGTGCATATAGGATGGTAGTCTCTTAAGATAACATCACCTAGAATATACTATGTAGACAACCAGAGATATGAAAAATTGTGCTCTATGTAATAAGAATTGTATCTCATTCTGCTGTGTGATATATATATAAAGATTACATCACCTTTGAATGCCACAGCCATCTTAGTTTGCTAGTATACTCTAAGATGTTTACACAAGGACAAAATTGTTTAATGACAGATTTCTCAGAATACATCCCCATCGCTAAGAAATGCTTGACTACAAYGACCTATCCCAACAATCAACCACATTGGCTGGGAATTCACTAGGAGGAGAGACTTGCCAACCACTCTATAGACCACTGGTTTCCAACTTTACACATGTCATGGTGCACACAGGGTCACCTGGCCCAGGCCCCCTGAGAGCCAAAGGAACCAGCATCTATCACACCTGGAAGCCATTCGCATGTTCTGCACTTGTCCCACCATCAGGGTGCTCTGTTAGGGATGCTCATTTAATCCCCTGGATGACCCAGGTGTTCCTGTTAGCATCATTTCTATTTTACAAGGGAGAAAGTAGAGGGTCAGGCAGATTCAATGCTGCCACGAGGCCAGCCTCCCACTCAAAGTGTATTCCACAAAGGAAAAGCAACCATGCCATTCCCTGCTCAAAGGCCTCTGGTGGCCTCTACTGCATGCAGGATGAACCCCACATTCCTCAGGCATAAAGCCCCAGCCTCCCATTGGGCCCCAACCTCCACACACCCTAGGATCCAGCTGGAAAAACCTTCCCACCACCTGTGATGGGACCCATCTCGCCACCTCACATGTCCTCCCTGCCTGCCTTCCCCTGAACACTGGTGTTTGGTGTTGTCCTCATGTGCACCTCCTATACAGCGGCTCCAGGGCAGCTCCTCATGGGCACTTGGGAGCATCCAACAGCAGCACGCACCTGGGGCTGCTCTGTCCTCCTCCTTGCTTCCTGAGCTTCCCCCTCTGCAGGGGACACACAGAGGGGCTRTGATTTATCCGTCTACGCACTTCGCTCCCCTACTCGATTGTGAGTTTCTCAAGGGCAGGGATGTTGTCTTCTTCGTTCTTCTTTATCTTCCCGCACAAGGTAAACACAACACCAGGTGCTTGGAAGAAAGGCTTGAGAAATATGAGGTGCCCTTGGCCAAGACCGCCGTGGGCAAAGAATCCACCTGCTTTCATTACATGCAAGGATTTAAAATAACCGAGGCTAGCTAGGACGTAGTGAATAAGAAGAGGTGATTGCCCCAGATCTCTAGGAGACTGTAGCAAAGACTCTACCCTGGCTGACTTAACAATCATTCTGAGGTAGAAGAAAACCACGTATGATCACAAGATAGTGTCTCATGTAGGAGGCAAATGTAATCCAAGGGCAATGGTCTGGTGGGGGGAGAGGGAGGGAGGAGAGTGTAGAAAAGAAAAAGAAGAGGAAGACATAAAGAGTAGAAATAGTAACAAAAATACATCAGCAACTGCCTTGGACATGTAAGTTGGGCATGTTGTACCCTGCACAAGGGCCCCTCCTGGGGATGATTGGGTGCTGAAATTTAGCACTGCTCTGCTTGCCAAGCCTTGCACTATGGTGGGGTGTGGGAGGCTGCTTTTGGGAGAAGGGCTGCCTTATATAATTTTTTTAAAGTGCCATACAAACTAGCAGCAGCCCTCTGTGCAATGATTTCARGATGGAGCAAAACAGTCCCTGGACCTATCTTTGGAGTACAAAACTGGATTCCACTCTCGATAGCCTCTAGGATGCCTGTCAGTCATTCTGAGAAAAGTACCTGGTTTTTTTGCTCTCAACCTCAACACACTTAACAAGTCGCCACAAGTTCCAGGTGAGCTGCAGACAGATCCTTTAGCCTCTCGCACCTGAAGCCCTCCCAGCCAATGAGGGCAGAGGCCACTGGACTCTGGGCCAGAGCAAGAAGCAGAAGAAGGGGCAATGCAGGGGCTGCCAGGGGCCAGGGGAGCAGCAATGGCAGCCYGGCTGGGGGCCCACACTATTCGCTCTGCCTCAGGGGCTGTAAGCATCCTGCCTTTGACAGCAATTAAATTTGAAAGACTCAAATATTGTCTAAGAAGAAAGGCAAAATATTTATCCATGTGTCTGCAGGTCCTGTCAGTGTGGTGGGCTTTTGTAAATTCAGGACCATCTGGGCACCCAATACGTGTGCCCAGAATATGGGCTTCCAGTCCAAACAGGTTTTCCTACAACAAAAGATGCAGAGGGGTTACCTGAAAGGCAAAGAGGAAGCCCACAGCCTCACCTGGGAAGGAGCTCAAATCCCCTACCAACACCGCATACCAGCTCTCACTCGCAGCCCCCGYCCCCCAGGGAAGTCACAGCTGGAACTGGGAGGGGAGCCTGGGCATAGGCCCCTCCTGCCGCCTCAGCCATGCTCTGCCTTCTGAGCTGGTTGACCCTCCTAACCGCATGTCAGGGTCTCAGCAGGACACAGGACACTCAAACAGGTAACCAAGGCTTTAAAAAATAACAGCCTAGTTCAGTGGCATATAATACAGTAACCTGATTAAAAGCAGAAAAGGGGTTTGAACGGACCTTTCTCTAAAGAAGACATTTCAATGATCAACAGGTCCACAAGAAGGTGCTCAACATCACTAATCACCARGGAAATGCAATTCAAACCACAGTGAGCTATCACTCTACACCTGTTACAATGGCTACTATCAAAAAAAAAAAAAGACAAAAGATAAAAAATGTGGACAAGGAGGTGGAGAAATTGCAATCCTTGTGCTCTCTTAATAGGAATGCACATTGGTACAGCCACTGTGAAAAACAGTATGGAGGTTCCTCACAAGGTTCTACTTCTAAGTATAAAACCAAACGAATCACAATCAGTGTCACAAAGAGATGTCTGCACTCCCAGGTTCAATGCAGCATTATTCAYGACAGCCAAGAAAAATACCCACAAATGGGGGAATGTATAGACAAAATGTGGTTTGTGCATACAAAAGAATATTATTCAGCCTTTAAAAAGGAGATGCTGCCACACAGGACAACAGGGAAGAATCAAATTTGGCACAATTCACTTCTACAAGGGGTTTAAACTAGTCAAACTCACAGAAGCAGAGAATAAAAAGGTGGCTGCCAGGGACTGGGGGAAGGGAAATGAAGGAGGTATTGACACAGGCATAAAATTTCAGGCAAGATGAGTAAATTCTAGAGGTCTCCTGTGCAGTGTGTGTCT